ATGTCATGTCTAGGGGCAATGTGTGGTGTAAATATTATGCAGAGAATTCATTGAATGGATTTAGAAAAGGCATATGATAGGGGAGAAATGTGGCAGATGTTGCAAGTATATGGAATAGGTGGTAAGTTACTAAATGCTGTAACGAGTTTTTATAAGGATAGTGAGGCTCAGGTTAGGGTGTGTAGAAGAGAGGGAGACTACTTTCTGGTAAAAATAGGTCTCAGACAGGGATGTGTAATGTCACCATGGTTCTTTAACCCTTTCAGGGTCCAAGGCCCAAATCTGGAGTCACGCACCAGTGTCCAAGAATTTTCAAAAAAAAATTTGTTATTTTTTCTTATGAAAATCGTAGAGAATCTTTTTGGAAGGTAATAAAACAAAAAGTACAAAAATTTGGTGAAATTGACGAAATTATGCTCTCGCGAATTTGATGTGTCAGCGATATTTACGAATCGGCGATTTTGCCGACTTTGACTCCCATTTGGCCAATTACGTTATTCCAATCAACCAAATTCTTAGCTATTTCACTATTTATTACTTCTATTCTATCGATTGAGCACAAGAAATCGCCAAGTCAACTGTTTCAACTACAAAATAAAGTGATCGGAAATGTTAATTTGGCCAATTTAACACAAAGTTCAAAATATTCCAATTTCAAAATAGGGTCCAGAATAAAAAAATTAGGCATTCCTGGCACTAAACTAACTTTTTCCTCTGTTCATTAGTCTGTTTTGAGGCTTTACAAATAAATTCCTTTTTTGATTTTTTATTCACATAATGAATTTTTATTCACACCAAAAAATAGAAGATTTACTGCTATGCAATACTGTAAAAATTGTATAAAATTCACCACCATATTTGTGAATGTATATTAGACCCACCAAACTGACGTGTATTTGACGTGTGAGGTCGTTTGTTTACTCTTGAATATCGGCAAAAATTTAACATTTCCGCTACTTTGAGCTCGGTTTCAAGCCCTTTCCAGTGCTAAAACCAATCAAAATCATCTCTATTCTGTAATATGTCTTCCATTCTATCAAATGAGACCAAGAAATCGCAAATACAACTATAAAAAACATACGAAAAAACACTGCAAAGTTGCTGTTTTAATCAAAAAATCATGATTTCAGTTTTTTTCTCTCATTATACACAGTGTGCTGCAGGATCTGTTTAAAGTGGGGCACACATACCACATAGATGTATTCTCTCATATCTAGGCCCAAATTACCCCTCACAGTTTATCAGAGTGAGCTGAGCTCATGGGTAGATCTACGGTTTGGACACTCACCATAAAGCCGTAGACTACGGGGCGGACCCTGAAAGGGTTAATATAATTTTTAGATGGGGTTGTAAAAGAATAAATGCTAGGGTGTTCGGAGGGGGTGGGATTAAATTATGGGGAATCAAATACAAAATAGGAATTGACACAGTTACTTTTTTTCTGATGATACTGTGCTTATGGAAGATTCTAAAGAAAAATTGCAAAGGTTTGTGGATGAGTTTGGAGTTTTGTGTAAAAGGTAGAAAGTTGAAAGTGAACATAGAAAAAAACAGTGGACCCCCGCTTAACGATCACCTCCAAATGCGACCAATTATGTAAGTGTATTTATGTAAGTGCGTTTGTACGTGTATGTTTGGGGTCTGAAATGGACTAATCTACTTCACAATATTCCTTATGGGAACAAATTCGTCAGTACTGGCACCTGAACATACTACTGGAATGAAAAAAGTTCGTTAACCGGGGGTCCACTGTAGTAAGGTGATGAGGGTATCAAATGATTTAGATAAAGAAAAATTGGACATCAAATTGGGGGAGGAGGAGTATGGAAGAAGTGAATTTTCAGATATTTGGGAGTTGACGTGTCGGCGAGGATTTTGAAGGAGAGTTAACATAGAACTGAGAGGGAAAAAAAGGTGAGTGGGCGTTTGAAGTATATGGGAGACAAAAAAATGTTATCTATGGAGGCAAGAAGGGAATGTATGAAAGTAAGTATACCAACCTCTTTTATGGTGTGAACTTTGGGGGTTAAATGCTGCAGCAAGAGCGGTTGGAGCAGTGGAATGTTCTGTCAAGGCAATGTGTGTGTGAATATTATCAGAAAAATTTGTTGTGGAAATTAGAGAAGGTGAGTTAATAAACATTTAAACAGAGGGCTGAAGAGGGTTGTTGATGTTTTTGTCATATAGAGAGAATGGATCAAAGCAAATGCAAAGGAATGAAAATCTGTAGGGAAGGAAGCAGGGAGGGTCTCCTCGAAAAGGTGGAAGAGGGGCAAAGGAGGTTTGTGGCGGGGGGTTTGGGACTTCCAGCAAGCGTGCTGGTGCGTTTCGATAGGAGGAATGGAGATGAAGGGTTTTTGGGGACCTGATAGCTTTGGAGTGTGAGCAGGGTAATTTTAGTGAAGGGTTCAAGGAAATGTTTTTTATATAGCTGGACTTGACCCGGGAAATGGAAGTAATAATGCCTGCACTTTAAAGGAGGGGTTCTGGATATTGGCAGTTTGGAGGGATATGTTGTGTATCTTTATACGTATATGCTTCTAAACTGTTGTATTCTGAGCACCTCTGCAAAAACATGATTAGTGTGAGCGGGGTAAAAAGTGTTGAATGATGAAAGAAATTTTTTTTTTTTGGGGATTTTCTTTCTTTTTGGGTAACCCTGCCTTGGTGGGAGATGGCCAACTTGTTATAAAAAAAGAAAAAAAAAAAATGTATGTGTAGTGTGACCTAAGTGTAAGTAAAAGTAGCAAGATGTACCTGAAATCTTGCATGTTTATGAGACAAAAAAAGGGACCCAGCAATCCTACCATCATGTAAAACAATTACAGGCTTTCGTTTTACAGTCACATGGCAGGACGGTAGTATCTCCCTGGGTGGTTGCTGTCTACCAACCTACTACTTAAATTATGGGAATCAAATACAAAATGGGAGTCAATTTAGTTATTTTTGCTGATGATACTGTGCTTTTGGGAGATTCTAGAGAGAAGTTGCAAAGGTTAGTGGACAAGTTTGGGAGGGTGTGTAAAGGAAGAAAGTGGAAAGTGAACATACATAAGAGTTAGGTGATGAGGGTATCAAATGAGTTAGATATTTGGGAGCTGACTTGTCAGCAGATGGGTCTATGAAAGACGAGACAAATCACAGAACTGATGAGGGTGGGATTGGAAGGTGAATGGTGTATTGAGGTGTTTGTAGAGACGAAGAATGTTATCCATTGAGACAAAGAAGGGAATGTATGAGAGTATAATTATACCAATGCTCTTATATAGGTGTGAAGCATGGGTTATGAATGCTGCAACAAGGAGAAGGCTGGAGGCAGTGGAGATGTCGTGTCTAAGAGCAATGTGCAGTGTGAATATTATACAGAAAATCCATAGTCTGGAAATTAGGTGCTGGGTTACTAAAAGTATTATCCGGAGGGCTGAGGAGGGGTTGCTGAGGTGGTTCTGACAGAGAGCATGAAACAAACTAGAATGACTTGGAGAACATATAAATCTGTAGTGGAAGGAAGGTGGGGTAGGGGTGGGACTAGGAAAGGTGCTAGGGGCGAGGGGCTTGGACTTCCAGCAGGCATGTGTGAGTGTGTTAGATAGGAGCGAGTGGAGATGGATGGTTTTTATGACTTGCTGGAGTGTGAGCAAGGTAACATTTCTGAAGGGATTCAGGGAAAACTGACAAGTCAGACTTGAATTCTGGAGGTCGAAAGTACAGTGCCGCACTCTGAAGGAGGGGCGTTGATGTTGCAGTTTTTTAAGTGTAGTGTAGGCAAGAAGCAATGGGGTGAATGATGATGAAAGTGTTTCTTCTTTTTGGGTCACCCTGCCTTGGTGGGAAATGGTTGATGTGTTAATAAAAAAAAATAATTAGGGAAAGGATAGGAGTATAATCCTTAAATATCCCATCTTATAGTGAATTCAAAACAAATTAGAATTACTTTCATACTGAAAGGTAATTTTTTTATCCCGCTGACAGTCTCCCTTGTCTTCGCAGAGGCGCACAGACACAACAGTTTAGATGGGAGGGAAAACATCTAAGCAATTTGTGCTACTTAACAGAGTTAGCATGTGAGTGCTCTCACAAAGTTCTCTCACCACAAGATTTGCATGTTCATCATAAGATGAACACCACTACCTGTCAACTGACTGTTGTTCATCGTAAGATCACCACTAGCACCTGTCAATTGACTGTTGCCCATCATAAGATGACCACCACCACTTGTTAACTGACTGTTGTTCATCATAACATGAACACCACCCCCTATCAATTGACTGTTGTTCATCCATAACATGAGCACCACCATCTATCAAATGACTTTGTCCACCAAAAGATGAACACTACCATCTGTCAACTGACTGTTATTCACCATAAAATAAACACTATCACCCATTAACTGTTGTTCATCACCAAAAGATGAACACCACCACTTGTTAAATGACTGTTGTTCATGCCCATAAGATGAACACCTGTTACCTGACTGCTGTTCATCACTTCCTATTTCACCACACTAAGTCATAACTTTCACCATGGTAACCTAATATATATATCTTGAGTACTACCTCTATCAGCAGCTGATGAATGACTTTTAATATATTTACAAAGAAATTTAGTCAAATTATTTGTCTTCTTGTAACTCAGATAAAGATTAACTACTACAACATTACAAGTTCCTGGTCCTACCACTGTATATATGAGGAGGTTCAGTATACATTCAGGTTTCAAACCGTGCGAGTGTGAGTTTTGATTTAGTGCAAAATTAATTAATGCAAGGTTTTCTTCCACCAAACTCTTCAAATTATGCACAAAAGTTATGTATAATTCAAACAGTGCAAATTTTGATTTAGTGCCAAATTAATGCTAGTATTTTCTCTCCAATCTCTTCAAACTGTTCGCAAAAATTATATGTAATTTGAATAATGTGACTACTTCACAGGATTCATTATTTGCACAATTTAGACCTGGCTGTACCTGTAATGATAACAGCTTCTGATATGTCAACATACTTCTCCATTAAGTGATTATCCTCTGAAGGTAAGTGCTGACTGCCTTCTTGTGATGTAAGTGCTGGCATCTTAGAAACCTGCTCTTCATATTTGCATTTTTCAGATTTCTCATAATTTTCCAGCATGTCAGGTAAACTCTCCTTGCTTGGAATGTCCATTGAGTTGCAAGTTGCCCAACTTGTGAGTGCTGTTAATGTGTAGAACTCACGGGGGCAGAACCCTAAAATCCTGAAAGTACGAGAAAATTCAATATTGTAGGATAAACATGCACCTGAGAAAATAATATATAACAAGTTTCAATGTACATCAAGAAAAAAAAACCTATATCAGTGGGACTTGCTCATCACAGTCACTGATATTAAAGCCAAGAAAAAACACTATCCCCCCCCCCCCAGCATCACAACAAAAAATTTAACATCATTTATGCTTGCAAACTACAAGGTTTCCAACTATGAAATAACAAAATACCATCTATTAGTAGATTTCTCACCAAAGTCTAATGCAGGGACACATACTAAAGGCTGCCTTGACAACAAAATATGGATACCAGGGTTCAATCTACTTCAATACAGATGGAAAAAAAAAGGCAACAAGGGAATGGTGGCAAAGATTGGACCAAATGCAACTTCCCAACAGTCTGAAGAAATGATACTGAAAATACTGTCCTGTCTGGAAAATCTCTCAAACCCAGCCCCAGATATCCTGTTACTTGGTGTTTTCAACTTAAGGCATCTAACAAGGAAGAGTGTAGCAAAAAATGTAACAGAAAGAGAGAATTTCAGGAGCCAGTTTAGATGAACAGTCTCATACAAATGATCTATTAACCCTTTGAGGTCGCCAGGCCCTCTCAGAGACTTGTTCTCAGGGTCTTATGAAAAGATAGAGAATCTTTTCCCGATCATAATGACACCAAAAGTAGGGAAATTTTGATGGAAAACTTAAACGGAGTTATGCTCTCGCGAATAGGGGTCTCGATGATGTTTACGAAATTGGCGATTTTTGCCCACTTTCCAGCCCTATTTTCGGCCAATTCCAGTGTACTAGTCGACAAAAATCATAACTATTACGCTAGAACCCATTTTTTCTATCGAATGAGTATAAGAAAACCACCCATTTACCAATCTCAACTAACCAATAAAGTGGTCAGAATTAAAAAATTTTGCCAATTTCACACAAAAATTCAAAAGATGCCAATTTCCAAAAGGGTCCAGAATAAACAAGAAAGACATTCCTGGCACTAAACTAACATTTCCTCTGTTCATTAGTCACATCCCCAGGCCCCTCTTATATTCTTTTGCTTTCCACTTCGAATTTTTATTTCTCAAAAAATAGAAGATTTACTGTTATGCAGACTAAATGTATTAGTGTAGGGAAAAGGTATAAATAATGCCAGCGCACTTGTGAAAAGAATATTAGATTCACCAGTTTGAAAGTGTATTGGACACATGGATGATTTGTTTACTTCTGAACTTTGGCAAAAATCGAACATTTCTACTATTTTGGGGCTCAATTTCAAGGGACTTTTCATTGTAAAATCAGTCAAAATCCCTCTCAATTTCTGTAATATGTCTTTCCATTCCCATAAAATGAGACCAGGACAAAATAGAATACAACCATAAATACCATAACAAAAATACAGTGCAAAGTCGCTGTTTTAAACCAAAAACACGGTCAAATTTTTTTTTTTTATTACGCACTGTGTTTCTGCGGATTTTTTTTTATACTGCGCACACTGACCACATAGACCCATTCTTTCATATGTAGGCCTACCAGCTTCTCTTGCTTTGATTTGAGGGCGCTAGAATTAGGCGTACTAGTACGTCAAAAACCCTGGTGCATAAGCCATACTAGTACGTCCAAAACCCTGAAAGGGTTAATGAGGCTCTGCTGACAGTGTTGTGATGGATATTAGTTTTAGAAGAAAAAAAATACTTTCCCAAAAAACAGTCCTTTTGGAACATTATTATCCATCTAATATGTCAACGTCCAAGTTTCACTGACCGCAGTACAGTGTTCGACCCAAAGGCAGATGAGCGTACACTTGAAGCTGCATGGCACTGCTGCAACTAGTTGTAAAAGTTGTTCCCAAAATTTCTTTAAAGCTCATAAAGAATTAATTATTCATCTTGTCTCTTTATATTTCAACTGTAACTTGTTGTATCTTTACCATCTCTATTCAATCACTCCACAAAACTGAAGATCACCGAATAGTAAATTTTTTTAAAAAATAAATCATGCTGTTAAAATTGTACCTGTGTACGTTATCTACTTTTCTTATTGGCATATAATTGCAATTAACTGCATAAAAAATCCTACTTAATATTCTAAGTCTAATTCTTAAGTAGTCTTTAAGCATTAGAATTAGTTTGATGTTTAACCTCCTATGCTACTCCAAAATATACTTAGCAAATAATTAAAATATTTCCTTTTCCCTATAAAACTTTCAAGTTTGTACAATATTTCTTTTTTGTTCTGATGGTATATAAGTGTAAGTTTTCTTGACGTACACATACTCACCTGAAGAAAAGTGAAGCCAGAGTAAGTGTTCCAGGTACAGCGATGGTGACAACACAGAGCCAGTACTAAACCCGCTACCACTGGTCGTGAACATCTGGACAAGCAATGGAGAGCCAGGTCTGGAAAAAGAAAGGGTTTTATGATTCTCACAGGTGGGCGGTAACAAGGACTCTTAACACTGAATTATCGTTAGAATAACCACTGGGAAACATTACACTCACAGTGGTCTTACAGTTATTGTCCCAACACTAAACAATAACAATGAAGACTAGAAAATAATAAGATTCACATCAGGGTTTGTTGATTTAGACCAATAGTTTAAAGCAAATGGTTTAAACTATGGTTTAAACAAAACAAAAACCATTGTTTTTTTTAATATAAGCCTTTTTCTTTTTATTATTACCATATGGTTTTAATGATATTTAGTCGATTTCAATCACCAATGATACTGAAAAGATTGTCACACTATTAAATTATAAATTTAAATTTGAAGCCATGATCAACTACACTATGGCCCTGGTTTTCAGCATCCCGGTTTTCGGTGTACCGCTATTTTGCCAACTTTCAACTTATCCACTGCTCATTATGTTTAGCACTTGCTTCACTTTTTCGGCATAACGAGCTCAAGAGCTGCGGGCATCCAGCACTATATTTTAAGGTAAGTAATGCATTTACTGTATATTCGTATTACTTTTGTATCTTTTCCTAGGCCTAGTTCTATTATGCACTTAACCCGTAAACGGTCCAAACGTATATATATATTCACTACCCAAGTGCCCCGAATATTTTGAAAAATAAAAAAATCTTTTTTTTTTTTATTGAAAGAAAGAGCACATTTTTCTAAGTGTTATAGGATAAAAAAAAATTAGGGTCAGTACTTACTGATAATACAGATAATACCACAGACCACCTACCCTAAATTTCCTCATAACAACTCTTGGTAAACTACCCCAAGACACTACTAAAGTCACCTTCAGACTTCACAATGAGGCAGCCATTAATAACTTCACAACAGCAGTAGCAAACATTGACTGGCACACTGAGCTAGAAATCTATACAGATATTGACAAATGTATTAATAATTTTATAAAAAAAGACCCAATCCTTATAAAAACCCACTCCCCCCAAAAAAAACTAAACAGATAAACAGCTAAGAACTGAACTTCCCTGGCAAAACACCCAGAAATTCTAAAAAATCCATAAATAAAAAAACCCCAATAATGAAAAACAGTACAGAATGGGTCACAAAACCCCAAGCCCCAAAAAAACTTTACCGTCCAATCCAAACCCGGGCCTGATAAAAAAGGGCCCAAAAAAAATTGTTTTTATAAAGAACAGATTATCCAATTTTAACAAAGGTGAGAAAAAAAAGACCGGGGAAAACCCCTATCAGAAATTCTGGGAACAAAAAAGTTATCACGAAATACGAAAAAAAAATTAGCAAAATCAGATAAACCCCAATTTCCCCCCAACAGAAACAGAAAACAACTCAATGATTTTTTCTCCACTATGGAAAAAACCTTGCCAAAAAAAATTCCCAAGCTGGGATACCCCCCCCAAATGACTCCCTTTCACCGGAAATTCCCCCGAACACCTGTTCCTACCCCAAACAAACCCCAAACAAATTTCTCCCTTATTATCAACCCCACTAAAAAAAAAAGGGGGCAGGAGTTTTTAAATACCTTCCCACCCTTTATATAAAAAAAAAGTGTCAAAAAAGTGCTATCCCCAAATTCATTGCAAAAAAACTCTTTAAAAAAAATCCATTAAACCCTCCACCCCCCCCTACAGTACTAAAATTTACCAAGGGTCCCCCTTCAAACCCCAAAAAGGGGAGGAGCCCAAAAACAGAGTTAAAATAACTTTGGGCCAAAAACCAACTTCCCCCTCCCCCCAAAAACTTCAAAAAATTTAAATTTCATAAACAAATTTCTACTCCTCCTTACTCCCCAAAACATCCCAAAACCCCCTCCCAAATTTGGGATTCAGGCCTAAAAAAATACAAATGATGCTTTATACACAGCTAGAACTTATATACCTGAAATAGAGAAAAAAGAATTTCCCACGGGGGGGGGATCTTCTTTTGACTTATGTAAAGCTTTTGATACTTTTGACCAGACTTGCCCCACTTTAAAATTGTCACACAAGGGGTTTTAAGAGGGAAACCCCCAAAAACCCTCCCCTCAATTCATACCTCACCAACAGAACCCAAATATGTGTACGCAAAGGGGGAAAACTTTTTCTCCCAAAAACCAATTCCCTTTGGGTTGTCCCACGGGGAAAAATTGCCCTTTGGCCCCTCTTCTTTTCCCCTATACATAAAAGGGACCTCCCAAATTTTTTCCGAAATTTACTAAAAACCCCCCCACTATTTGCAGAGGGACACTACATACGTTTTTCTCCCACCCGAGCCCAGTCACGTTGGCCAATACTTTTAAATTTACCGAATTCCCAGAAAATATCTCCCCGGGAAATGGGGACTAACAAATTTTAAACAAACTTTTACAAAACCTACTTCATTCATTTTGGTAACAAGTTTACAGTTTGCCCCCTTTTCCCCCAAAAAATGTTAAATGGTTTCCCCTACACAAAGCTAACAGAAAAAATTCTTGGGAATCCCCCTTTGATAAAAATTAAAATTTTTTCATACCCAAAAACCAAAAAAATTTCTAAGAAAATTTCCAAGACTGTGGGTTA